CGCATGGCCTCTCTGAAATGAATGATAGCCTCCTGAACTCGCCCCATGTTTCTCAGTGCTGCCCCCTTCAGGAGGAGGGCCTGAACGCTGTTGCTGTTCAGCTGGATGGCCTTGGCCCCCAGGTAGAGGGCCCTGGAGTAACGCTTGCTGTAAAAGCTGTGACAACTGAAGAAAACATACCAATAGAAGCACTTCAGCAACTTAATACTATAACCTATTTATCCTGTTGTTTTTTGCTTTGATAGTTTAAGTAAAGAACTTAGGCTCTCATTCAGACTCACCCAGAGATCACCCAGGGTTCTGCATGTTGGTCAGATATATTAAATAATCGTCCTCCTAGGACTTCAACATCCTCCAGGTGTCCCTCACGGGCCATTAGGTAGCCATACACATCCATTCCTGCAGGTGATGTTTTGTATTACAGCACTAACARCAGTTGTCAAACCATGAAAATAAAAACTGGTCAAAAAGTGAGATATACTTATATATTTATGGCATATTGCTAGGTCATTAGCATACACTGCATCAACTGTAACCATGGGCCTAAAAACATATCTTTGTGTGACTCACCTCTAATGAGATATGGGTCCAACATCTGCGCTTGTTCAAACTTCAGAATGGCATTTTTGGTGTCCCCCGCCCTGAAATAAACATCTGCCAGGCTCACCAGGAGGTCCACGTTGTCCCGCAAAAGAGACTTCTTTTCCAGAGAGCTGGAGCAGAATGGTTTTATTATTAACCAGAACCAAAGGCAGCCTCTTTGTTCGAAGCATTGGAACTCTGCTCACCAGATTGTGTTGATAGCTCTCTGATTGTCTCCTGCGTGGATGAAGGCATAAGCTTTGATCCAAACAGAGAGCCAGTCCAAGTTGGGAATGCTCTGGATCACATCCATGGTCATGGAGGCCACTTCAGCTCCTTTAACTGACAGAGACAGAAGGCCTGGGGGGAGGGGGKGTGTGCAATACCACTTTTAAAGTTGGCAGTTACAGGTAAAAGAAACTATTTCAAGCTCATTTATTAGCCAGTGGTTACAACACACTCAAACCTGAATTTAGGAGTTACTGTACACACTGAGGTTATCATGTCTTTCACCAAATATTTAGAATAAATTCAGTCATTCTGGTCAACTGCAAAATCTAAAACTAATGAATTAGTGTGTGCTGCACAATTGTGTGCACAGAAAAGTTAAAGGAGAAATCAAGATTCCCTAACCAATTACAGTTTCTCTCTTCACACAAAAACATTCCTAAAACAGCAAATCAATAAGAAGCAAAAGAGATGTTAGCAGCATTTCTGCAGAAAATTACAAAACAAAAAAAAAAACTTTGTGTCAAAATACCAGATGTACAGGAATTATTATTATAATCATAGTCCTCACTCACATCAACATGAACTACTGCACTGCTCACATTGACCAAATAAATAATAAGCATGCAGAACRTGACATTTTAATCTAAATATAATGGCCTATGGATTATTGCAGTCCTTTGAGAAACTGATTTTGCTCTCACTGAGATTGGTATGACAATAAGTTTGCATTATTTACTTTTATTTAGCCAGGCAAATCCCACTGAGATCACAGAACTCTTCAAATGAGGCCAGAAGGCAAACAAACATGAATTCAATAAATTGTGCCACTTTATTTCTTAATACCTAGTGCTCTGACTGTCATCTACTGCAGGTAAGATACAGACTGCTCCTAAATACATTTTAATGTAACTTTGGTCCAAGCTGGTGGGCATGATTAYTTTGTGTAAACCATATGAGGCACTGCTGTGTCATGTGTGGTTTTTGTGACCTATCAGTTTAGATATTTGTGATGTGGTGTTTAGATTGGTCGATAACAGGACCTGGAACTTACCAATAATTGCATCCAAGGCAAGGGGACACTGTCTGAGCACCTCCTTGTAGCTCGTCACAGCAGATCGTTCCTGACCAGCTTTCCTGTACAGGTTAGCCAACATCATGTTGATCTGAGGTGAGAAAAACCACCATCAGGATTTCCTCTCAGAGGAACCCAGTAGACCSCTCATGAACTGGTACAGATCGTGAATTTCATCACAGAGTCGCTGACAGATTTAAATAATAAAAACTTTAACTACATTTAACATTTAAACCATTAAAATATTCACTACTTAACTTAGAAGACCTTAAAATATATTGATGAATCTATGTTTAGGTTATATATCAAGTTTTCAGCCCCAGTTTTTKTCCTGTAGTGTACTCTGAATGGTCTGCATGAAAAGAAAACCACAATAAAAACAATGAGTATAATAGCTGATATTATTACCTTTGGAGTTCTTTGTCTAGAAGGAATCCCATCCAGCACAGCGATGGCATCTTTATCCAGTTTCAGAATAGTGTAGCATTCTGCTATTTTGTATTTTACCTCAGTTTCTGAGGGCAAACTCTGAAAAACAAAAACAGAAAGACATAAATCAGTTTATTTAGAARTATTTGTCTGAACAAAGAATATGGAGACCCTAACACTGGATGTGGGTTACAGGGGCCCCACCCTGGAGCCAGGCTCGGGGAAGGGGAGGGGCTTGTTGGCGAGTGCCTGGTGATGGGCCTCTCTACCCATGGGGCCCAGCTGGGCTCAGCCTGAATGAGTAACATGAGTTTATGTTGCTGTGAACCCACCACCTGCAGGAGGGGACATACGGGTCAGGTGCATGGTGACGTKGGGGGCAGCCAAATGTAGGCGTCTTGGCGYTCTGACCCTGGCTCTTTGGACATGGAATGTCACCTCTAGTGGGAAGGAGCCTGAGCTTGTGTGTGAGGATGAGAGGTACAGACTATAGAGTCGGGCACACCTCTACACACAGGATAGGCTCTGGAACCAGACATGAGAGGGGCTGGACATTACTCCACTCTGGAGTTGTCTATAGTGAGAGGCGATGGGATGGTGTGGATCTAACTACAGCCACCCAGCAGCATGCTGCATGTGCCTTGAAGTTTTTCCCAGTAGATGAGAGCTTCCCTGCRCCTTTGAGTGGTGGGGACAGGATCTGACTGTTGTTTTGTACCTAAGGATGCTGCATGGACGCCTTACTGAGGAGGCTTCCCAGGCATGTTTGGCTGGGAGGAGACAATGAGGAAGACCCGGGACACGCCAGAGAGACTATGTCTTTTGTCCTCCCAGAGGAGCTGAGAGACGTGGCTGAGGAAAGAGATGTCTGGGTCTTCCTGCTCAAGCTGCTGCCCCACTCCAGACTCCAGAACAAGGGGAAGATATTTGATGAATGGATGGATAAATAAATGTCTAACATGCTAAAACTAACAACAAAATATGCATTGTGAATTTCAGTCAAAAATCTCAGAGCAGGACATCGTAAATTTCGATTGTTACATCACAAAATAAAAAGTTTTGGAATAAATCTTATTCTGAATTATATAATATCAAGTAAAATGTACATATTTAAATGTACAATTTAAAGCTGATTTTTGTTTAAAACTATAGGATTGTACAACCCTAATAAGGAGACATTATAGGAGACTCTTGCATGTTATCTGAGCTGGCAACAGATATTMAACATGTACATGTTTGACTTTTTGATTTTGTTTGTTGATTCATTTTTTTGAAAGCACAATACAGCTATAAGTTATTCACTGTAATGTAATCAGTTTGACAAATGGCCAAAAAGATGAAACACAACAAACAATACAACAACGTTGAAGCTCAGTTTGTACAAACATACACACCTGTGCCTGTAAGTTGGATGCAGCTCCACCAGCTGAAGTACGGACCTTAGAGGTTTTGTTGAGCACCTTCTTCTGCTGAAGTGCCATACTGTATTTGCAGGCAGCGTTGCGGTACTCCTTATCATGAAAAATGGCATCAGCATGGTAAACCAACAGCTGATATTTCTGGGCTGGCGAGAACAGCTCCCTTCAAGAAACAGATAAAATTCAGATAAATCAGAAAAAAAAAATCACACAAAAAAGAAACTAGCCTATTTAAACACCACAGACTAAGATGAGGGAAAAGTGAACCTAAATCCTTAAAAAGAAAATGAATGCATTCGACCAAATCAATAAAAATGTTATCTATATAAAAGCCATACAGCAGAGAAGTGCATGTGATAACCAGAGAAGCATCAGATACACTGAAGTGTGATCTAGAGCTTTAGTTAGCTGTCACARATTTATAAAATAATCAACCCTACAACACTAAGACTGAAAGGGGAAAATGCGAATAATTTATACATGATAAGTTATCCTTTACCACCTTATGCTGCTGACACTGTACGTCCAGGACTCAACACATGGCTGTGGCTACGTCTTGGAGAATAACGCTCACTGTATTATCAAATACATAATCATTTACCAGTGCAGATTTTACAGTCATAAATATTTGCTGTTAATGACATGGTGGTTAACTGTAAGATATGACCACCACGGAGAAAAATATAAACAAATAACTGAAGTATGGCAGGACAATCGTCAGGAAATAGACGGAGCCCTTTTATTACTTACGGATTRTTATTACTCATCGTCAGCAACAAACTGCTCAATATGCGAACATTAGAGTGCAGACCGGCTGCAGCCATATCCCGAACGTGGTCTACTACATTCATTTTAAAATATTTTTGGTGGGCTTGCAATGTATCCGTGGCTGGTTTAAAGTTTTTCTCAGGAAAAAGCTAACATCACTTAGCATCTCATGTATTAAATATGGCGCCGAATAACTTCCGTCCTGGCGCTGCGTTCCAGGCCTTGTGACCAGCTCGTATTTTTCAACAACCACGCTTCTGACTGTGAGGTCTTAGATGAATTGTGTGTTTGTGTATACATATTTGGAGATTAAATAAAAGTATTACTATTTTATTTGTACTTCATTAAATATTTTTCAAAAATATTCTTCTTATTGGTATTTTTTTATAAACCTGAACGTTATTAAGTAACATTTCCGACGACTTTGAACTCATTTTGAACGCACCACCTCTTTCTGCGACCATAAAGAACAGTGTGCCTTTTTAATTTTTATTTTCTGTGAAACCTGGAGCCACATAAAAGGGTCATTCAAAGCAACCTGTTATCCGCCTGTCACAGAAATACAAATTGTTTTATTCGGTTAAATTATTAAAATAAAAATACTAAAAAAAAAGTAAACACACTTTGACGTGAGGTTTTAGCACCAACAAAGTGATCCTCGAACTTGACATTAAATTGTGTTCACATCAATAGAAATGTGGAATCCTGAGCTCATACTCTCTAACAAGATGTCTGGATAAATCAAAAATATCTTTCGGACATGAATGTCTGAAAAAGTCATTTATTTTTGTTTTGTTTTATTACGAACGTATCTAAAATGATCATGATTCGTCATGAAACAAGTGAGATAACTTATTTAATTCTAATTGTAATGTTAATCAGGAAATACAGGTATTGGTTAAGGGYTGCCAGATAGAAAATGACAAAATAGCGTACTGCCGCTTTAAAAAATTTTTTATATTAGTGCTAATTGAGGATGCGCTGTCTTGCAAACATGACTACCGTAATTCTTTGTGTACGCATTATTGGGTGCACAACACAATCGCCTGATAATTATCAGGGAAGTGTTGCCATAAATACGTAATTATCGCATATCTGGCAACGTTTCGGATTTTAGATTCGGATTCAGGATGCGTGTGAGGCGCATGCGCACTTAAGGCCAGCCGCTGATTCTTGTGTGAAAACAGAGAAACCAGCAGCAGGCATCGCAGAGCCAYATTTAGCTCCGCTTTCAGAAAGTGTTCGTCTAACACACTTCATTTCTCCTCGGTTACGTTCGCGTACCATGACCGAACAATCAGCTTTACTTCTTCGAAAACAACTGGCAGGTAATGAGTATTTCAGACTGTGCGTTAATAAAGGTTATATTGTGTTTATCAGCTGACGTTAGCTTATTGAAGCTACGCGCGGCTCTGTTTACGCCATAGGAGTGAGGTCGGCGAGCTAACCCAGCWGCATAAAGAACGCTTTATCAACGCGGCCGAGTGTGTGGCTAAGTTGCTTTGGTTATATCACTATCGAGATTCAAGACATATATGTCGAAGTGTATCTGCCTAAAACAACCCATCCGAACCAGACCAGAATCGTAAATCCAATCTGGTTAGCCTGTTAGCTAGTTTGGCATTAGTTGTCGGACAGAACAAAGGAATAATCAATCCAGGGAATCATCTGTCCTGATTACTTTAAACAAAAGCTATGGTGAGAGATTAAATCACTCCACTCTCTCACATTTAGTATAATACATCCTGTAGCCACTTGATAAAAGATACTTAAATGTGTAATTTAGCTCTAAGATAATATCTCCTATCTGGTGTTTATATCTGCCTCGGTCTGTGAAGTTGGCTCTTTTGACTCTACACATTTATAATTCATCTCCTCTGTGATGTAGCTGTTGATGTACATCCCTAGGCTTATATTAAGAGTCATCACTCTTTTTTTTATTTTATGATCAATGATGGGGGCATTTTTTCAGTGCCTATCACGGGAATCTCTTCACCAATACCCTCTCATGATAGCCTTTTTTTTTTTCTTCCTCTGAATAATTCCTTTTAAAGCCTTCAAACTAATAAGACATACRGTTTCGGGGGAATTTATCTAACATATCTTACGCCAGAAAATTAAGCCAAAGTGCTCAAAGTCCATTTGTTTGCTTTTTGTAATATGTCACACATTAGGACTTTAGATAGATGATTTAAATATACTTTACTGATCTCTTGAAGGAAAGTTTGTCACAGNACACACACACACACACACACACACACACAAACAAAATGTGTCAGAATCTGTCAAATCCTAAGTCACTGAGTCCAGATGGGGTAGGTTTCGTAGGGACTAGTGACCCACTTTAATTTTCATGTTTAAATTAAACCGCATGTATTTTATTTGGGCTACAAATACGGTGTGTGATAACAGCTGTTTAAAAAAACAGGTTTCAGCTATATTGCAGCAATGTTATATTCAGAGTCACAACATTAGCCTCGTGTAAAGTTGCAGCCGAAGAATTCACCTGATAAAGTTAAACCTGTTGTTGCAATAAAACACTGTCAGCTTGATTTAATTACAAAAACCTGAAGCCCTAAATAATTCAGGTGGTCAGGAAAATGTTTTGGTGGTGGTTGAAAATAACAGTAACAAGTCTTTCTACATTACTCCCAGTATGGTTGCATAAAGCATTTTTCTTTGTGATTCATTGATTTAACTAAGGTTTAGTCACTATTGTTAATCCCTTGACTCAACTTATTTTAGATTTTTCTACCTGGATTATTGAGCTGCATCAGGGCTTTTGTTTCAAATTGGTGGATCACTTCAACACTACTCTCATTTTTGATGATAAAAATTATTGAATGAACTTGGAGGGCTTCTATCTTTAAAGAGTGACATGTACAACAACAAAGATTAACAACTGAAACACAGACATGAACATCTTTATGTTCCTGTAATGCTGAACAGAGGCATACATTGACCCGAACGAACTTTTTTTAATCTAATGGAAAAATGCTGTTATTCAGAGATCAGCTCAGGCTTTTGGTACTAGTTTCTTCCCAAATTGTATTTATTGTTTTAATCCAGAGGTCAACTGATGAGGATTTTTAATCCTCAGTGCCAGCCTTTAGAAATCAGTACAGTAGTGACAGGTTTAGGAAGCAGATTTGTTTATTTAGCATACAGTTACAGATGTAACAGGTTAGTATTGGATTCATTACAGTTTACTAGATTAAAAAATCAAATTGTGATTGCCTGGAATTTTGTGATTACACCCTGAGGTATGATGTAGTCGGTGCACATTTCTCACTGTGCTGAAGCTTTCAGTGTATTAAAATTTGAAGCTTATGTTTGTTTTCTATCTAACAGATTAAATTTTTAAGGCTTTGAAAGAAGAGTGATTTTCTCTGGAAACTACATGGTTCTTTTAAAAGTTCACACAGTTCTCTGGGGGTCTGGCAGCTCTGTATGAAGAACTAATTCTTCCTGGAAATTATACTGATTAAAGGGTACGGTAACAAGTGTGTCAGTATTTTCACATGTGCCTGATGTGCCTTTTTAATTAGCTCAGGTGTAGCCAATGATAATTTTTATATTTATATATTTATTTTTYTATCCAACCAGGGTACTCGAGGTGCTTCACACTACAGTCTGTGCCCTTATTTAACCATTCATACAGCACTACTACATCTCTCTACAAAGCTAATACAGATAAATCAATCTATAGAGACTACTCAGTGCTTTAAGTCACATCCATACACTGATGGGACACATCAGAGGCAGTTCAGTGTCTTGCCCAGGGACACTTATTGGACTGAATAGTGGTGGAATTGAACKGCCAACTCTCTCATAAGAGGAGCAACTGATATACACCCACCTCACATTTTATGGATGGTGTTATTGCATTCAAAACTTGTTTTATTGCATTTTTCATTTCAAGCTTTGTCCTCCACCAGTGCCCTGAGAGCTTCATGGTTCCTCAAAGCATGTTTAGTTCTGCTCCTCTGGACAGAGGTCTGGGGTTGTTCCTGGGTTTTCTTTCAGTTCACAGTCCAGAGTTCTCTGGTGACCACTTGCACCATCGAGGCCTCGACTCTCAAAAACTCTTCTCTGGTTTTTAACTTTTTGTTTTTCTTCTGTTCCCAGAGCTCAACAAGAACCCTGTGGAGGGCTTTTCAGCTGGTCTCATAGATGATGACGACATTTACAAGTGGGAAGTCGTAATCATTGGTCCGCAAGATACTCTTTTGTAAGTCAGAAAATATTTGTTTAAAATGCCTTGAGTTCAAAAACATGAATTGTTTGTTTAAAAAATATCTATTTTCTTGTATTTTTGTTCTTTTTGGACTATAGTGAAGGAGGCTTTTTTAAAGCATACCTAACCTTTCCCTACGATTATCCACTACGACCACCAAAGATGAAGTTTATCACAGAGATCTGGCATCCCAACGGTAACGACTGGTCCTTGAATCATTAGTTATTAAATATTCATGCTCTGAATGTGCATATATTAAAAATTTTCAACACTTTGTACTGTGTGACTGTACTGTATATTTGTGTGTTTAACTGGTCCTCCAATCCTTCCCTACAGTTGCAAAGAATGGGGATGTTTGCATCTCGATCCTGCACGAGCCAGGAGAAGATAAATTTGGTTATGAAAAGCCTGAGGAGCGCTGGCTTCCAATCCACACCGTAGAGACAATCATGATTAGTGTTATCTCCATGCTGGCAGACCCAAACAGTGATTCACCAGCTAATGTGGATGCTGCAGTAAGTTCTGCTATTTCTGCCATTCTCTATAAGTTGCCTTTTAGCTCTTGTAAGCTTTGTGTCAATTTAATTGATTGTGTCATCGTTGCCCCCACCAAAGGTGAAAGGGCCATGGTGTATGTGTGTGTGTGTTTGCGTCTGAATATCTCAACTAGGGGTGCAACAATATACATGTACCCGTATCGAACAGTGCTTTAGGTTCAATACACACACGTATCAAACAATACAGATTTTTTTTAAATTTATTTTATCAACATGTCTTCTGAAGATGCTCTGTGTTAAAGGATCAGTGGATCTGTGCTCGACTACTCCACCTAGGCTACATTTTTGAGCGCAGATCCACTGAGAAACTTGCTGTTTCAGCAACATTTAATTAAAAAACTGGACTTTTGAGGTTAAACAAATGTTCATATTTAATTTAAATAAATTACAAGTTAAAAGGGGCATGGACATTTCTCTTTTTTGTATTGAAAAAATATCGAACCCTGAAACTAAAGTATCGAACCAAACCGAATCGTGAATTTTCTGTATCGTTGCACCCCTACCGTCAACATATATTAACGAGTGAGGAGATTTTAATGACGCTGTCAGAAAGCACTAATTGGATGTGCCTCTACAATGTGTTACCATTTGGAGTCAACCCAGTTCAAAATGGCTGATATAACTTAAAAATTTAGATTTTAAGATGCAGTGGGGGGAAATTTAGTCATCCACCAGTCAGCCACCRATTGTTCAAGTTCTCCCACTTACAAAGATGAGAGATCTGTAATTGACATCACCTCAGTTATGGGAGACAAAATGAGAAAACGTATCTAGAAAATCATATTCTGATTTTTCTTTATTTTATTTATTTTTTAAGAATTTATTTGCAAATTATGGTGGAAAATGTTCAATAACAAAAGTTAATCTCAATAATTAGTTATATATCTTTGTTGGCAGTGACAGAGGTCAAATGTTTTCTGTAAAGGGCTCGACACACGGGAGGCGACGTCGCTCGCTCTCCATTCATTTCCTATGGAACCTGTGCGGTGAGGCGAAAATCTCTTGCCCTCCTCCAGCCAAGCGACCGGCGAAAATAGTGCATGTGAAATTTTGCGCTCGTACACGTAGACGTGCAGACGCGAGCTTGCGACATGACATATGAAAGATGAATAATGTTCAACTTTTGTCGCTGTCACTTAGTGTACAGCGAGGGTTTCATTGACTGACCAATGAGAGGAGAGTATGCTACACACTGCAGTTAGCTAACACTTTCACCAAGTGATCACTAAAAAGCTTTGTGGGGATTTATTGGCACCAGGGTGAAGTTTATGGTAAGTTTTTCCTCATAAAATTGTATCTTGATGTGTGTTTGTTTTTCAATATCATTAGCATCGCAAGTTTTGTTTAGTTTACACGTCCGTAATGCACACCCCACTTCAGAGTCAAGAACCAATCAAATTTCGTGAAGACAAGTGATCTGAGAGCGCGATTCACAACGCTGCGATCGCTATCGCGTCCCGTGTGTCGGGTTTCACCCTGGCTGCGATGACAGCCGTTAATCGCTGTAGTTTGTCGCTCCCCATGTGTCGAGCCCTTAAGTCTTCAGGTTGGTACACACTGTTGCTGGTATGTTGGTCTGTTCCTCCATGCAGATCTCCTCTAGAGCAGTGATGTTTTGGGGATGTTACTACATCACAGACTTTCAACTCCCTCCAAAGGTTGAGATCTCCAAGGGTTGAGATCTGGAGATTGGCTAGGCCACTCCAGGACCTTGAAATGCTTTTTACCAAGCCACTCCTTTGTTGTCCTGGCAGTGTGCTTGGGATCATTGTCATGCTGAAAGACCCAGCCATGTTTCATCTTCATTGCTTTTCCTGATAGGTTTGCTCTCAAAATCTCACAATACATGGCCCCATTCATTCTTTCACGTACACGGATCAGTCATACTGGTCCCTTTGCAGAGAAACAGCCCCAAAGCATGATGCTGCCACCCCCATGCTTCACAGTAGGCATGGTGTTGTTTTGATGCAACTCAGCATTCACTCTCCTCCAAACACGACAAGTTTTTTCTACCAAACAGTTCTACTTTGGTTTCATCTGACTATATGACTTTCTCCCAGAACTCCTCTGGAACATCCAAATGCTCTCTGGCAAACTTCAGATGGGCCTGGCAGGGGTAGACATAACCATTGTTTAGGTTGTCYGAGACAACCTATTTTCATTTCGGACAACCAGATCCTGTCTCCTGGTTGTCCGGTGGACAACCAAGAAAAAACCACCTTGATTAAAGTTCTCTGCTGCGGGTGTCCATCATTTGTAAAAATGAAAGGGAGAAAAAAATTTGGTATAGCTAAACAGAACACTAAACTGTTACTTTTAATAAGGACTTGTGTACACAGGATACTCCTATTTAAGTGAAAATATTTGACCTATGAGCAGAAAGAAGCTTGTGAATGTTGAACTTTATTTCAAAGAAGAGAATGATGAAGTTTTATTCACACAGATCCTGTCAACCTGGCTGACTGAGAACAATTATATATAATCAACTTTGTCCACAGAACAATATACTTGTTAAATTACATTTTTCTTGAGATTCTTTAGGACAACCAAAAGGTTTTGCGGACAACCAGGTTTTGTCAACAGGTTGTCTGCTGGACAATCTGAAAAATATCCTTGTCTACCTCTGCCTGGATATGTTCTGGCTTAAGCAAGGGGACATTTCCGGATCTGAGTCCCTGGTGGTGTAGTGTGTTACTGACAGTAGTCTTTGTTATGTTAGTCCCAGCCTTCTGCAGGTCATTCACCAGGTCCGCCCTGTGGTTCTGGGATCATTTTGACCCCACGGGGTGAGATCTTGTGTGGAGTCTCTGACCAAGGGATATTATCAGTGGTCTTGTAGGTATTACATTTTCTAATGATTGCTCCCACAGTTGATTTCTTCCCACCAAGCTGCTTGCCTACTGCAGATTCAGTCTTCCCAGCCTGGTGCAGGTCTACAATTCGGTTTCTGGTGTCCTCCCACAGCTCTTTCGTCTTCACCGTAGTGAGTTTGGAGTGTGACCATTTAAGGTTGAGAACAGGTTTCTATACTGATAACAAGTTCAAACAGGTGCTGTTACTACAGGTAATGTGTGGAGGACAGAGGAGCCTCTTAAAGAACAAGTTACAGATCTGGGAGAAATCTTGCTTGTTTGTTATTGACCAAATCTTAATTTCACACCATAATTTGCAAATAAATTATTTAAAAAATCGTGATTTTTCTAGATGTTTTCTCATTTTGTCTCTCATAGTTGAGGTCTAACTATGATGTCAACTACAGGCCTCTCATCTCTTTAAGTGGGAGAACTTTAACAATTGCTGGCTGACTGAATACTTTGTTTCCCCTGTGTGTGTGTGTGTGTGTGTGTGTGGTAGCAGCAGCACACAGTCATCCTAAACATATACTCTTTACACTAACATCATTCCCAAGGTTTGACCAAAGCAGCTGTGAATCTTCCCTCATCAGAAGATGGTTTGGATTAAACTCGGGCAGAAACATTAAATAATACGATTCTTGTCCCCGCAGAAAGAATGGAGGGAGGACCCTAACGGTGAATTTAAGCGGAAGGTTGCTCGCTGTGTAAGAAAAAGTCAAGAAATGGCGTTCGATTAGGACTTGGCTGTAAATTCCAGGGTGAGTAGACTGACTCGGGTCTCCCTGTCTTAACCTGGCCTCTGAAACGTTTCACGTCATTGTGTGTTTTTGTGCAGTTTGTAGGAAATGCCTTCAGAAAGAAAACTTCAGCAAAAGGCTTTTGCACCCTTTGTTTTGCCAGTCAAAGGAATTGGTTGGCCTCAACTATGTTTCTGTGAATGGTCTGCCAGATGAGCCAATTTGAGAATCCTACCAGCGAAATTAACCTGTTTCCTACCTGGAATTGTATATTTAATTTTATTTATTTTGGAGAAGAAAAGATGTAAAATATGTCACTACTGTAAATTAACTTGCTTTTTTATCTGCTGCTGAACAGTTTCTACTTTATACCAGGTTTCTTATGCAATTTAGTGGTCAAGATTGTGTAAAACAAAACAAAAACCTGTTCTCATTAGGTTGTCATTTGTCCTCCCTGCTGCAGACTAACAGATTATTGTCAACCCAACAAATCTGTCAGGTGTTCTTTTTTTTCTTTCAATGCTGTTTTTGCATCACTGTTGCCTTTTTGTTGGCTTCACCTCCTCACAACTTGAGCTTTGTTTAAAGAAACGGCTTGAGAACGTTTAGAGTTTGTAGAGTTTTTGAGAAACTGCCACCCGGTTGTTGTTGTTTTGTTTTTGTTTGTTTTTTACATCAATGTGTGTGTCTGAGATGTTTGAAACCATAACACCCAAAATGTGTATAATTCATCCAAACAATCCTTCTGCAGGTAGCTGGTGGCTGTAGACTTGAGTAGATCCTGTGCATCAGTTCAAGAGTTATTGTTGGATTATAAATGAACTGACTCGGACACGCAGCGGAACGTTTGTGCCAATTTCTCAGGATCTAGCTTTGATACACTCAATATTAGCCATAAATAAGATGAATCTAAAAAAAATCTTCCATTATCTCCTCTGTGTCGTTTTGGCTGACAAAGTAGGTATTTTCATTTACTGACATTAAATTAAACTCAGCCCAGTTGTAATTATTCCTCAGGTGGATTGGTTACCAGACACTTGATGAACCTCAGTTTAAACAAGCAGATTGGATGAGGTTTGTGGTTCTTGATCTGTTTGGAAACACTTGTATTTAAGGGTCTCTATAGTTCAGTTGGATTATTCATGCTTTCTTTCTTCCCTGGGGCACATTTGATTGTGTGTGGATAAAACCATGGTCTAGATTAAATGCTGCTCCTTTTTCCTCTTTACATCTGRAGCTCTGATCGGTGCACATTTGGATACCGTTACTTTTAATGAATCGCTGAATTGGAATCTGGTTTTTAAAGTGTGAGTCATGTTTGGGTGGGCATTAAAAAGAACTAGCCTGYTTTATTGATAGTGTTGAAGCTGTGATTATCATGCGTCACACTGATTGACAGATCTGTGATGGTCACTGAGACTAGTGGTGCATGCCGTTAGGTTGGCGGGGAGTATGGTCAGACTCAAACATACCACTGCTGGTCCACCCTGGGTGAGTGTGATGTGTACAGTTAGCTGATTGAGTGGGCTTTATGATCACATACCTGCTGTTACCATTTCCGTTTCCCATGACAAAGATCCAACCTACCATGACCTCTGACCGGTGTTCACTGTATTTGCACAGATGCAGTGCGTTTGAAATGTCATTAAGCAATACGCTCTGAAAATGGTGTCCAGATAATCCATCACAAAGCCAATATTTGTTGTAGGCTGTTGTTGGGTCTTTTTTTTAATGTTCTGTTTTGTGTCAATGCAATGTATATTGGACATGATGCTTAATAAAGTGTGTAAAGATTAAATTGTTTAAAGGCTGATTACTGTATGTTTTCTTCTAAATACACATTTTTGTACCAAAATTTCAAAGGTAGACTACTAGATTATGGCTGACATTTTTTTATTTACCTACAGTTGTGGGTTCTTCAAAAACTTTGTGCTCCTGTAAACTTCTAATATTTAGAAATATCACTAAAAGATGAATCCTCTTGATATTTTGAATTATCTTAAAATCACAGTTGAAGCTTTATAATGGGCACACAGGTCCCATGTTACCGTCCACCCAGAGAGTTGTTACAGTTTCTCAAGATATTTTCAAACTCGCATTTTAAAATGTGTATATAAAGCAGAGATAAATTTGTACCAAAGCCCAGTGAGTCGACTGTTTCCACTGAATAAAACAGTTGTTTCAGTGCTAATTCCACTTTTAATCAGGGGTCTTGAAACATTTAGTCAAAGGAACATTTGTATCCAGAGCTGCAAAGCAAGTGAAAGATAAGTGATAATGTCGGTGTGTTCGTTTACCTTTAATATGTGTTTGTAACCAGACAGACAATGTACCAACAGTTGAATGTTTGAATGTGAAAAGAGTCATACAACCACTAGCGTTGCACTGAGAAGCAGGTTTTACTAGCTCTGTAGCTCGTCTCTGCTTTCAGCACCCTAAACCAGGAAGTCACTTTATTATAATCATCTTCAGGACCTGACTCCGCCCATTGTCATTGCATCATCAAAAGGGCCACACTACAGTTGGAGCCAGGACCTTGTAAAGATTTTCTGTCCTAATGTAAAAACAACAGATCAATTAAAGTGTTGGAAGTGAATCAGGCATGTATCTAATCTATATGTACCTTCCTCTCTGAGTAACCATCTGTGACAGCAGCCACTCAGACCAGTCTGTTCATAAAATCACCAGTTTAATCACATAAATAATCACACAATGGTTTATAAAACTATATCATATTCACCTAAGAAAAAAACTTTAACATGTAGTGCTTTTTTAAAAGACAGTAGTAAACAAGCCAATACATTTCTTCACAAGCGTGAACCTTGAAATAAAAATAAAACAACTCATCCAGCGTTATATAAAAATTACATAGGAAAGCATTTTAAAAATTGCTTTTGTATATGTAACACTTGACTCTGCACCCCTGGGGGAAAAAAAGCATGATTTTGTAAGAAAGTGTAACTTGATGCAGGGTTCCCACGGGTCCTTGAAGTCCTTGAAAGTTTGTGAATTTGAAAAATATTTCAAGGCCCCGGAAAGTTTGTGAAAACAGCCAAAAATTACATTTGTCCTTGAAAGTCCTTGAATGTTTTTGGGGGATTAAAATTCTCTATTCACACGACTGATA